GAGAGAGAGAGAAAGAGAGAGAGAGATCTTGTTCCCTCAAAAGAACCCATTATATCCTACTCCATACCTCTCCTTTCTCGCTTTACCTTCTCCAATGGCTTTCTCTTTATACCCAGTAAACCCTACTCCAAATCTCTCTTGACAAACCCCGAACTTCACGGAGCAGCCAAGAAAGGGAGAGAGGAGATAGTGACGTGCTTTTCCAAAATAAAACTGCTCTCTCCTTTCCCGTGGCTCTCTGCTGTCCTCTCAAATTTCCCTCTCTCCTCATTTCCTTTTCTCAACAAACCCTACTTTTTTATGTTTGTTTCCCTTCATATGAACACCTTCTACTCATAAAATGGCCCAAGTGTCTCTCTCCAATCAAAGAAATTTATTTCTTCTCCTTCTAGGCCCCCAATACCAGAATCCATAGACCTTTTAATCTCCACTTCTTATTTGAACCCTGCGACTCTTTTTACAAAGAATTGATCAAGAATTAGGGTTTCAAGAGACAAAGCTACAATAGTTGGAGGAAGGAAGGATGCCGAACAAATCAGAGTTCCTATTGCATTAAGGATTTTGATGAGTTTCAGGCAAGTGATTTGAGCTCAACAGGTGATGATGACAAGAGTAGTTTTAAGGGCATGGATGTTTGGAAGTGACTGCCATGGAAGAATTTGCCTAAATGAGATAAGTTCATTGGGGTTGTTTATATTGCTTTTGTCATTTATAAAATTGAACGTTCTATATATTTTTCTCCATTTAAAGGACAAGGAGATGGAGAAGTAGAAGAGAGGAAGTGATGATAGTGGGGGTTTGTGAGGTGGTTTTGGATACGGTTTTTAAGAGATCCATTTGATATTATAGAAGATCACCATGGGGTGGGTTGTGAGGTGGTTTTGGCTTTTGGCAATTAAGCCAGATATGAGTATCTGGGGGCGTTTTTTATGCAAATAAAGTCACCAAAGGGTAGTTACTCTGGCTGTGGAGCATAGAATTGGACTATGGTTTCGAGGAGGTGAAGCCCTGGAGTTTGGACCTGCAAGGGTCCCTATGTTTTTCCTTAAATGAAGGAAAAAGGGTAATTACTCAAAACTATGGCCCATCAAGTGCAATGCACAAGGTTGATCGGCTAGATAACCCTCAGCATGATAAGTGTTGGAATATTGTAGGAATCATGGAATTGGATAGATGTGAGAAAAGTCTCATATTAGGCTCGAAAGTTGTAGATCCCCATAAGATGATGAAAGGAAACTCCCGGACAAAAACAAGAGAATTTTGAGCTAGTTGCATGGCCGGATTGGTGAATAAGTAGTTTGGAATGGAGTATGGTTAAGCTTTGGTCAAACCGGCCCCCAAATGGTTACCCAAGGGTTCAAAACTTTAACCTAAGGTGCCCTGAGTGAGTCCCCCCAAACTTGGATCAATCTGAAATCAAATGACAGATATAAGCATTCGAATTTGAAGATCGCATAGGGAGCACACTCTGGGTCCAAACCAATCCCAAATTTACAAAGGAACCTTGAGAAATCTTTGGCCAAATGACATGAACTTCTTTCAAAAGAAAGGCATTACTTCAAAAAGCTTAAATTCCTAATTTGAACCCGACCTGACATTGGGAAGTGCCTTTTTCGAAATGGTCTTTGGCAGACATTCAAAGGACCACAATTTTTTTGGAGAAAAGATTGTACTGTAGGTGTGCACTAGCAGGGAAGAGCACAATGAACGTAGAGTTCGTGGCTATATTAATCCTTCCTCTCCACTAGAGCTTCTCCATAAAAGTAGAGTACTAAACTGATCCTCTTTTACAAGGTCCCAGAAGGTTTGGGTGCAACAACGATGAGTTCTTGAAGGTGATTACCAGCCATATTGTCTTGGTTCAAGGGGATAGCTGGGTCATTTTCTAAACAAAGCTTTTCGCTTTGAGTACTGAGGACTGATTATCAACGGCTTCTAACTCTTCATCGAGGTCATATACCATCAGGGGTGGACTACTGGACTCCGCCTTTTTCTGGACAGCCCTCCTTGTGAGAATCCTTCTTTCCGGCGTTGTTTGAGGTTGCCCATAGACAATAGATGGCTCTGTGATTAGAGGTGGTGAAGAGGTGGAAGAGGGGCTTGATTTCCCCTTGATCACGAAAGGAGATCTTGGTAGGTGAACTATTGCCGCCTTGCCCATCATGAGGGAGTTGTAAATGTGCTGGTTCGCCCACACACGTGTAAGAGTTAGCAAACTTTAAATTTTCAAGGGGCTGAAAAGATAAGGGGCTGAAAAGAATTATGTAAGAGTTAGCAAACTTAAAATTTTTCCTTACAAATATTGTTTTTTGGGATTTCAAAAAAAAATGGAAGTAATGTATTATGAATTTTCATTGTCTTGCAAAATACATGAGTATTGAGATGCTATTTTCTTGTCTGAATGTCTGTTGACCGTTATATTGACATCAAAGAAGAAAATGAGTATACGATCATTACGGATATGAATACATGGTCCAAAATGGAGCATAGGATTATAAAAATGCAACCTAATGCCAAGAGAGTAGTTTTTATGTGTATGTATGAAATATATACATTTTTTGGAAATAATAATATAATTTTCAAATATAATTATTATTTATAAATTATGGAAAAGATATAAAAATTATAGTCTACGAATTATTAATTTGTATTAAAATGTGACAATCATCGTCATCATCCGAGCTTTATCCCAATTGGTTGGGGTCTGTTCCATTAATCTTGCTCCGCCATTCTGATCTGTCAAGGGTCATACCCTCCGTTAGACCCTAATTTACAATTTCTCTTCTCACTATTTTTATCCATACCCTTTTGGACCTTTCCATTCGGCTTTTTCAGCGTTTCAAAAAGCGCTAGGCGGTCGGGGGGGGGTCCAGGCCGCCCAGTGCCTAGGCGGGCTCCCAGAATCTGGGTGGCCTAGTAAATTTTTTTTTTTTAAGTTTTCTCTCTAAAAAATAGCCTCTCATAGGTTTTAGGTTTATTTGAAACCTAAAACCCACAATTTTGCACCTTTAGTATTAAAAACAATGACCCAAAAACGGCCTCAACAAGCGGCATTTCCGCACTTGGCGGGGCACAAGCCCTCAGCGGCCGCCTAGGCAGGTTCCTGGGCTCCTAAGTGGGCTCTCTAGGATACCTGCCTAAGCCTGGGAATTGCGCCCAGGCCTTCTGGACCGCCTAGGCAGCAGCCCAGGCGCTGGGTGGTCCGCTTTTTGAAACACTGGACTTTTTAGAGCCTTCCACTTGAACTAAATTATCCCTCTTAAATGATGTTGTTCTTGGTCGACGTTGCATATGGCTAGTGCACTTAAATCTACTTTCCTTCATCTTATTGCCTGATGGAATCAACGGTAAGTTCCCTCGGATGTATTGATTCTCAGTTCTATCATTTCTTGTCTTGCCACTCATCCATCTCAATATCCTCATCTCAGCTGCACTCTTTCTTTGGATATGTTGTTTCTTAACGGCGCAACATTTCATCCCATAAAGTATGGCTGATCTTCCAACTGTCCTATGAAACTTTACCTTAAGTTTTGTTGATATGCGGCGATCACATAAAACTTCAGATGCACATCTCCATTTCACCCAACTTGCTCTAATTTTATGTGCGACATCTTTCTCGATCTCTCCATTGTCATAGATTATAAAAAACTGTGGCAAGGTTTTATGCAGGCTGTCCACCTAACACAACCCTCCCTCTTTCTTCGGGCTTGGAAATGGCATGACCGACTTGGGACCAGCCATGGCAGAGTCGTATTAAATGTGACAATTTGAATATGACAATAACACATTAAGTATGTTTATATCAAATATAAGAATTACAATATATATTGAATATAACAATAAGCAGTTTATAAAACAATCACAAATTTAATATGATAATAGCAAATTAAGTATTCTTATATTAACTATAACAATTACAATTTATATTAAATATAACAAGAACAAATTTTATATAACAATAAAAAATTATGGGCTCGGTTTCTATGAGTCAATGTAGAAATGAGTCACCTCTTAAAAATCTATTTTGAAGATGGATTTTTGGACTTAATTTTTAAGGACATGTAATCTCTAACATGGATATCATGAATATGAATAAATAAATAAATTTTGAAAATTTGAAATAATAATTCTATTTAAGAAAGCATTTGGACCTTTGGTTTCAATTGTTTTTAATTGTCAATGAAGCTAAATTATTCTTCTTTATATAACAATAATGATTTATATTAACAATATTAATGGGCCACTCCACCACCCCTCTTTTTAATTAATAAAGTTCCAAATTTCAAATGAAGAAATGAAAAAAAACGTCGGAACCCCACTAAGTCACTCAGTTCTTAGGCAGAACCGGCCAGTTCTGTCACGGCACTGGCTGGTTCTTGATATAGTATGGGAATTGGCACGGTCCCAACTATTCTCAGTCCTAATAAGGAGATTCCTTTCTAGATCGGTGTTTTTTAAATCCCAAGAGAGATTAGTTTTTTGTCATCCAAAAATCTAATGCTTTGGATACATCCACATTGGCCTCAAACAAAAAATTTGATGTTTTTGATTAATATTCTATGCCTCGCATGACATGCATTTTGTTTATTGTTGGCTATAAATATGAATCTGTATATTTCTAGATCTTTGCTGTCTTCCTGATATATAAGTCCTATATCTCATGGTTCTGATTGTTGCCGATGATTCAATCGAATCCCTTTTGTTTGTAGCGGTGGCAACAGGTCCGGTCGGACCGCGACCGGACTTGAAAAAAAATATTATGGGACCCGGACCTGAAAATATAATGTGGGACAGGGGTCTTGATCTGACCTAAAAATTAAAATATCTATGTATTTAAATATCTTTAAATATATTTCATAAAATTGACCTTAAAATATAATGTGGAACCTGGTCCTGGACCTGAATAGTGTTCATGTCCAAGATTTGGACCCGAACGCGACCCGTCGAGTCCAATTTTTGAACCCATACCCAGACTTGAGTTGGCTCTACCCGTCAGGTCTCGGGTCGGGTCCGGGGCCCATTGTCGCCCCTATGGCCTGGCAATGGGTAGGGCGGCCCAGTTAGGCTTGCTGAACCTGGGCTGGGGCCACGCTATGTGGCCTGCAGGTTTAGGCCCATGCTGGGTAGGTCATGGCCTAGTCTACCCCCTCCCGGATACATATAAAGGCAGGGCTTGGGCAGGGCAAGGATCGTGGTCCTGGGTCTTGTGCCCGGTCCATTTACATATCTATTTATTGTTAATGGGAAAATGAACTTTTGCAGTTATGTGATGATCACATGCGCTCACGCACTTTTTGTGTGTGTGCTTGAAAAGAGGAGGCTGGCAGTGATACTTTTTGGCTTTTTGCTGACGCGATTGGATTGTTTTCAGCAAGAAATTTCGGTAGTCAGTAATTTGGGAGATACGATAAGGAAGTGTTATCGACATGATTTTGTTATGGAGATGACAATTGTTGAACTGGTTGAGGTCCAATATTTGTTGAAAGGTGCTTAGATATGTGTTTTTGTTGCAAATTTTTTTTATTTGATGAACGATCATGCATTTTCTTGAGATTTAGTGCACAAGATTTGTATTTGCTGATTTTATGAATTGGTTGGGCCTCTACTTTGTCTGGAGAAACTTGGATTATATATCTATATCTCTGAAGTTACCAGCTTCTCTTGGATTTTCAGGGTTCGAGTTGATATTATTAATTCTTTGAAGATGAATAATCCTTACATTGCGATTGGTTCATTTGATCGCAATAATCTCTTCTATGGTGCCAAACCTTTTAATCGGTCGGATTCATTTCGCAAAGATCTGGTTGGTGAAATATCAAAATATATTTGTAATGGAGGCTCCATTATTGTATATTGTACAACAATCAGAGACACTAATGAGGTTCAGTTATAAACCCAATTAATGGCCCTTCTTTAGTATCATGTAATTTTTTGCTTTAAATGTTTGCTTTATTTTCTGTCATTCATGGGAAGGTATACTGCAACCTAATGGTCCATTAGGAAACCATTGTCCATGTGCTGAATGCCTTCCAATAAAATGATGGATAGTGATGGAGCGAGAGTGGACCCGCCAGATCAAGATATGACCTCAATTGTGGGTCACACTCTCTTACCATCACTGTCCACCATTTAGTTGGTTGGGGTTGACAATGATTTATCTGCAGTCTATTGGGATTGCAATATGTTTCTCTTACCTGAATACGCTATTATGTAGTAATATTTTCCATGCTACTTGGAACTAACAACCTGATATTTTGGTAATACTCTGAATTTTAGCTTGTGTTTGGATAGGGAAAGGCATCATTTATCTCTGTACGGCGGAATAAGATGAATTTGTTTGATGATGGTATTTTGGGTTATCAAAAATATTCCGAGCTTCTGTGCATATCAATTTGCTTTCAATAATATCTTTGGGTTCTCAGGTTTTTGAGTCCCTCCAACAAGCTGGAATCAAGGCTGGCTTTTACCATGGACAGATGACAAGTAAAGCTCGTGAGGATTCACACAGGTTCTCGTAGTTTCTATTTCTATTTCTCATGTATTGGATTGAATTGTATAAATCATGGAATTATTTTGTTTCTTCAAACTTGACACTTTCGATACTTTTATATGTGTAAAGGTCATGATTTGTACATGATGATGATATTCTTTTCTCTTCCATTCCTGAACATTTGCAGAATGGGATATGAGTTTATTGTGTTTCTTGTCTTAAATATTGATGGTGCAGATCCTTTATTAATGATGAGCTGCATGTGATGGTTGCAACCATTGCTTTTGGTATGGGCATTGACAAGCCAAATATAAGGTGTATAATACATTATGGATGTCCAAAGAGTCTGGAGTCTTACTATCAAGAGAGCGGTAGATGTGGTCGAGATGGGCTGCCATCAAAATGCTGGCTCTATTATTCAAGAAGTGATTTTGGAAAGGCTGATTTTTATTGTTCAGAAGTGCAGAACGTATGTAGGCTTTCAGTTTCTCTCAATTCTTGAGTTTTGAAGCATTTAGAGATTGCTTCTGGCATGACCAAATTATAAATTTGTGCAATCCTTTTAGTCTATGGGGTATTGAGGATATGCTCCTTTCCGTAATTCTTTTCCCTGGTTTCTCTGTTTGGATCATGTCCTTCTCTGTGAACCAGGAAGACAGAAGAAAAGCTATTGTACAATCCGTTATGGAAGCACAAAAGTACTGCATGTGGACAGGTTGCCGAAGGAAGTTTTTGCTGGAGTTTTTTGGGGAGCAGGTCTCGTTCACCAATTGTGGTTCGTTGATATTTCACCAGTCTCAATTTAGTGGCTACACTATCTTGCTTTGAGAAATTTAGTTTTGTACTTCTTAAGTATTGACCGCCCAAAAATTGGACTGTGTCTATTCAATCTTAGGACATTATTTTTTTTTTCTAGGCGCTAACAGAGTCCATATGACTTCTTTTTTAGGTTGATCATTAGGATAAGGAGGTTACATCCCTGAAGTTTGGGATCCTAAAAACAATCGGTTACATAGAATTTTTACCAGAGGGAGTGCAGCAGCATATAATCTTTCCACTACAAGGAAGAGATATATGATCTCTAGGGTAAAAACCCTATATGGCAGTATTTTTTGGACCCCAAATTTGGGCATATGACCAAAACGTTCACACACAATCTCTGTGTTTTTAACCTGAGAATATGCTTATAAAAACTGAAACTTTTGAGAATTGGCCACGATTTTATTCGGCCCTTTCAGCACCTCCCATGTGGGAGACATTAAAAGTTAATAAGTAGATTTTATATTATTTCAAAAATGACCATTATCTTTTATAGAGAAAAAATGGAACTCTTTCAAATTTTAGTAAAATGTTTAACTAATTTCATAATTTTTAGTAAAACGTTTCAAAATGGGTTCTCATTTATATTGACGGCAAAAAAAAAAAGAAGCATCACTTGCTCCAAGGATACGACATTGTGCAGATACGACATTGTGCAGTTTCCGTCTTAGATATAAGATCTATTTAGGAGATAGTTATAATATAAATTTAATGGTGCCTGTTAATTTGTGATTTTACTAGTGTTTTTGAAATTATTCTTATTATAATTTGAATTTTCATGAAAATTAGCCTTTTATATATAGTTTACATCTTTTAATACAAGTGTTGTGAAATAAATTCTCCTTCCAGAAAATATATATTCACAAAGATATTTTATTAAAGTGGATATAAATCCTTATGTTTTTTGTTACATAGATTTTGTCATATAAAATGAAAAACCGCATGGCAGCAAAAAATTTGACCAATTGTGGGGGAGACTTTTGGGTATATGCTGGAAAAGAAATGAAAAGTTGGAGAGGAGATTGTGTTGTGTGCACCTAATACTGTGCACATATTCCTTTGGGTTAAAAAGACAGATTTTTATTATTTAGAAGGGATTTTTTGCTGGAGGATTATACACCAATGGGGCCATATGAGTATTTTGAGAAAAAAAAGATAGATTTTTATTATAGAAAGGATTTATTATGCAGAAAGGATTTTTCCTTGCAGGACTATATATCCGAGGGACCATGATGATGAAGCATATGCCAAAATTCATATGATCAAAACAACTTTGCTGTTCTTTTCACTGGTGTTTATTACTTTATTTTATTTTTGTGTTTTGTTAAATAAGAATAGGATGGATGGATGCCTCAATAAGAATGTGCTGCATTTTATGGGTTTTTCAGCTGTAAATATGTACAGCATTAGATTTCATGGGGAGGTGATATTAGTTGTAGTTTGAATTTTATTTTTCTTTTTTTTATTAGTGGTTCCAAGTTAAATGTTTACTGCATTACTCCTTTCTTGTCAAATTTGATCTCGCTCGATGATTTGGATAATTCTTTGGATAATTTTAACCCTTTCGTTTGCATTTGCAGGTAACTGTGATAATTGTACAGACACTAATAACGAGGGGAAGGATATATCAAGAGAAGCTTTCTTGCTGTTGACCTGTATAAAATCTTGTAGGGGCCGCTGGGGCCTCACTATGCCAATAGACATTCTTCGTGGCTCCCGGGTATGCTCCTTTATTTGGATTATCAAAATGGAGTGATGGGAATCTATGTGTACCAATGAGATTATATTGAATGTGATCTGACATGGTTCACTAACAAATTCCACTTCTGGGTTTAAATATAATTGTTGTAATCATTCCAAATCTTTTGCCAGTAGTGCATTAAGTCTATTTTTTGTTATATTTTGCAGTATTATCATGGTAACATTTTGAATGAGCTTTTTAGAGAAAAAATATGTGGAAATATTTGAGAAGATGTGAAATTCTGTGTACCCTGTCGATGTGATAGAATATATCCTCTTTATGAATGTTTTCATTCTAGAAGCTAGAACCTCCACCATAGAGTGAGGCATCTGCTCTAGAGGAAGCCTTGATTCTGTGTTTTGACAAATTGGTAAATGTTGCCACAATTTCCCAATTAGAATTAGATATTAGAGTACATTTTAATGCTGTAATGATTTAGGAAGATGCATGCTTTTGTACACTACTTAACCTGAGATTATTATTACAATCTGAGAGTAATTTTCTGGTGGAAATCTGACCTAGTCATTGTTTCTTTGGTTGATTCTCCTAACTAATTTTTTTTATTTACTTGATATCCACCAAAAATGTGATCATGTTTGCATGTGCTCGAGTCGATGTCCTTTTGACTTGCTTGTTAAGATACTAAAATTTGAGGCTTTTTTTTTTGGGTATCATATTGTATAGTCTGCTATACCTCTTCCTGTATTTTGCATGTTTTAGTGGCGAAATTTGTATCAAGTATCTTTATTTTTCTCACTTTCGTGTTCATGGATAGTTGTGTGCATACACTGGAATATCGTATGCTTTGAAAGTTTTCTGTTAGAATGGTAGCTCAACCTATGACCTTAAAAAGAGTTGGAAAGGTTTAGATGACTTTTTTTTTTGGACAGTCAAAGCGGATTGTTGAGAATCATTTTGATGGACTTCCCTTACATGGACTTGGTCGAGACCATTCAATTAACTGGTGGAAAGGACTTGGGGATCAGTTGCTCGCTCATGGTAAACTATGAAAATTTTCTTATTGGTTGGTAACACCATAATTATTAATTGTGTGAACATTACTTCATGTTGTGTTTACTTTAAACTGGGATCAAGATCACTACTTTTTCTTAAGCAATTAATATGGTGAAATTTTTAAGGATGGGCACGAGGTTGATGCTGCCATGTGTGGATAACTTTTTTCTTTATTTTGTTCGTTTTTTCTAAATAGAGGTTTAGGTGCATTGTTTGTTGGAGAAAGTAGTTCTTTTGATGAAAATAGGGCCAGACATAAACTGTAATAAATAGCAGAGGATTAGACATAAGAAAGGTCAAGTAGGACAGTCCTAGGAGTAACTTTGAGACACGTCTAGCACTACATAAGGATTGAGATCTCTAGAAAATTATTGAATGGACATTGTTGCCCCTCATTTCATGCATATCTGCACACTTTTCAACAAATTATGTGGTTAGGACTTGATTTACACACTGTTAATCAAGCGACTTGCTGCAACATAGATGAAGTTGCTTTATCAATCCTTGATAATCATCTTAAACATTTGACTTTAGTGCCGGTGCAATGGGCCACTCCTATTGTGAAAAGAAATAAAAGATGAATAAAAAGTGATTATTTCTGTAGTACTAGTTGTTGGAAAGATGTCCTACATATTTGCAAACCAGATATTTTTCATATTTTCAAAAGTAATCAGCTGCATCGAGGGGCCTATGAAGCTGGGTATCCCATCTTCTATCCCCAATCTCAAGTATAGGCTTGTACTTGGTTTCATCATTCTTCAAAACCAATTTAATACTTCTGTCGCCCTAGTCATTGTCTCATGCATGTGACCCATGCATAGTTTCAAAAAGCGGTCCGCCCAGAGCCTGAGCGACCACCTAGGCGGATATCCTTGGGCGCCTGCCTAGGTTGCCGCCCAAGGGCAGAAATATGGCTCCTTGATGGTAGTTTTTGGTCAATTTTTTTTAATACTAAAGGGGCAAAATTGTGGGTTTTAGGTTCATTTGAAACCTAAAACCCGTTAAAGGCTGTTTTAGAGAGAGAACCCCAAAAGAAAAATTCTATTGGGCCGCTCAAGTTCTGGCTGCTTGCCTAAGCACTGGGCGGCCTGGATCCCCCGACCTCCTAGGTGCCGCCTAGTGCTTTTGAAACACTGGACTCATGTTGGGCTTTGCATCACCATAAACCAATCGAAGCACTTCAACCAAAGGGTTAAGAAACACTTAAGGAATAGTAGATTTGTGCACAAAAATATGTATTAAGCACAACTAGCTTTGATTTTTTCCCATCTTGATGCCTCAGCTACTTATCCATTCTTCTAAGATGAGATGTCCTAGGAAATTTATTGATTATTGCTCTCTCTCTCTCTCTCTCTCTATCCCCTTTGAAACTCCCTCCTCATAATTACCACTAGGGTATGACTATAAATGAAACTAATGACAAACTTAGCTTTTGTAGTTGTCCCTTTAACCTTGGATGTTCTCACTACGTTCTCAAGCATGGGATCAAAACAGTGAGTTTCACAAAGAGTCCAAATCATATGCCTCCTCTTCAAAGTCACGAGACACCCAACTGCAGAATAAACAATACCATTTTTTTTTTGTTGCCAATATTCAAAGCTCTGTATTGATAGTTCAAAAACCATACAAAAGAGAGTTACAACAAACTCAAAAATCATTACAAATCACTAACTCAGCAAGTGAAACACCTTTTTTTGCTAACTCATCGGCTTCCCGATAGACATGGTAGAATGAGACCCTCATAACTGCTACGAGATCCGTAATATGTATCCCAACTTGTTGCATCTACCACATAACTCTTTGTCCTCTCTGGCACCATAGAATGGTATTCATCGAGTCCCTTTCCCCCATGAGAACTACATCCATCTGTCTATCTCGGTTTCTTCCAGGATAGTTCTTCGATGATGGCAGAGACCACATCGGGAGTGGATGGGAAATCATTCCTGTTCAAGTGCTGATACCGTACTTGCTCCTCTCTATCCCAATGTCTTAAAAAATGGTCCGCGTGGCTCCTAGGCGGCCTGGACCAAAGACCTGCACGCATAGATCCAAGTGGCCCTACACGGGCGGATGTACCTGGGTGGGTGCCCAAGCGTGCGCTCAGTCGTAAGGCCATTTTCATTTTTTTAAATCTCCCAAAAGGGCAAAGGGGGTCATTTTGACCCCTAAGGTTGTATAAAAACATTAAGGGGTTTATTTTTAACAGCCAAAGTGAAAAAAAGAATTAATTTTTTTTTTTTTTTTTAAAAACAAAACCCTCAATAAATGAAAACCCCCAAAGTGAAAAAAACTATAGGGCGCTTGAGGTTTTGGACGCCCGCTTAGGCGTTGGGGAGGCCGCCTCGGGGCTGCCTAGCATTTTTTGAAACCTTGGTCTATCCTTCAAAGTCTTCAATACTTGCAATAAAGAGGCCATCTCAGCTTTATTTGCAGTCAAAGTCCAACAAGGTCCGGCATAGCAAAATACCATTGTCCTTCCAATCTCGAAGTATTCCACCAACACCTGCTCTCCCTGGATTTCCGTATGAACTACCATCAAAGTTTAACTTAAAACAACCATGCATTGGTGGGGTCCATTTCATTTTCGGTCTACACTTAGCCTTCCCCAACTTGAAAAGGTTAGGGAGATTAGCCAAAACATCAATTTCAGAAATTCCCCAGTTTTCTCTAAGAATTGATAACCAGCTCCACATGGTATGCTTAACGTTGAACAACACCCTCTCATAAGGAAGAGAAGCCCCCTCAAAGGTCCTACAATTCCTGTCCTTCCACAACTCCCACATGATTGCCCCACTAAGTATCATCCAAAACTTCATACCACCCTTAGACAACCGTATCCCTGAAAATTATGTGAGAATACAATCTAGAGAAAATGGCACAACCCACGCAACTCCGAGCTGGTTAAAACACCATCCCCACAATCTTGAAGCAAAAGCACAATGAAGGAATAGATGAGGACTCGATTCCCCATCACTTTTACACATAAGGCACACATTCGTCAAGATTTTACCCCTTTTAATTTAATTGTCAATAGTTCGAATCTTCTCTTGTGTAACTAACCACACAAAAGCTTGAACCTTGTGGGGTATCGACCACTTCCAAACACCTGCTAGTACTCTATAAACAGATTTGATAGAAAATGTACCCACTTTTTCTAATTCCCATACAATCTCACCCTCCAAATTGGATTTATACACATTTTCCAAAAGAGACATCAAACCCAAAAATTGATTAGGTACTGCCTACAGAACCCTATTATAATGCATCTGCAGATCCCATGATGCTTTGCCATCAGCTATTGAGAACAAATCTGCCACTTTAGCATTTGGCTCAGTGACTCAATCAAATAAGTTAGGAAATGAAATTTTAAGGGGACAATTTTCCAACCATTTTAAGTGCCAAAAGGAAATACTCTCTCCTTTACCAATCTCTCATCTGATATTGTCATCCACAAATTTTTTCGTGGAATAGATAGCCTTCCAAGAGAAGGAGGTCTTCGAGTTCCTCCCTTTCCCGAGCCAACAACCAATCCTATCCAAACCATACTTTGCCACAAGGATAGAACACCAAAACTGATCTCTGTGAACCAAGCTGCTCAACCATCTTTTCGATAATAAAGCAGAATTGACCAAAGAAACCATCCTAATCCCCAAGCCTCTCTTCTCTTTTGGCATACATACACGGTCCCACCTTAAAAGATGATACTTTCTCTGCTCACCCACTGATCCCCATAAGAAGCTCCTCATCATAAGTTCAATGCGTTTAGCTACCACTCGAGGCATCTGAAATGTAGACATTTGGTAAATCAAAAGGTTAGCTAAACAAGATTTGATAAGAGTAATCTGCCCTCCTAAAGATAAGTATTTGGGCTTCTACATATCAAGTTTACACTGTACTTTTTCAAGTACTCTATCCTAGGCCGAAACAGGTAGTCTGGAAAATGAGATAGGTAAGCCCAAATAAATAAAAGGGAAGTTTTCAACCCGACAGCCCATGCACTCAGCCAAGGATAGCACAAGGTTATCATCATCGCCCACTCCGATCAAGGAAGTCTTAGAAAAAATAACTTTCAAACCAATAACAACCTCACAACATGTAAAGAACCTATAAATATTCATCAATTGAGCATGTTCCGCCTTACAGAAAATAAGGGTATCATCAACGTATTGCGAATGAGATACTACAGGCCCATTAGGTGCTACTTGGAAACCTTGCAAATTTCCTTTCTTCGACTTTCCTCAACATAAGACTAAAGCGCTCTGCATACAAGGTAAAAAAGAATGGAGATAGGGGATCCTCTTGCCTCTGACCTCTTGAGGAAGGGAAATGACCAATAGGGCTCCCATTTATCAAAAAAAAGTGGGTAGTGGACAAACAACCCCAAATTCATTTTCTCCATCGTCTCCAAAAACCATTCTTTCCATCACCTCCAACAAAATTTTCCACTCCCCTCGGTTATAAGCCTTTTCCATATCCAGCTTAAGAACTACTCCAAGCTCTCCACTAATGGCACTAGAGTGAATACACTCTTGGGCAATCATCACTCTGTCAGTAATCATTCTATTCTTAATAAATGCTGCTTGTGGTCTAGAGACCCTGAAATGAAGCACAACCTTCAGTCTTTCAGCAAGAATCTTAGCTATAATCTTGTATAAACTCGTAAACAAACTTACAGGGTGAATACCACTAATCGAAGCAATCACATATTTCTTTGGAGTGAGTGAGATATAAGTGGCATTGATCCCTTCAAACAACTTGCCCCTATCCATAAACTCTGTAACCATATTCAATAACTCATCTCCCACCAAAGCCCAAAATCTTTGAAAGAAAAAAAACGGAAAGCCATTTGGACCCGGAGCCTTATCACTAGTGAGTGATAAAACCGCCACCTTAAGGTCATCCATAGTAACTTCAGCGTCCAATTGGACAACACAATTAGATGGTAATGATTTAAATTGGATTCTTGGCATCCGTGTCTCAAACAT